GGGTAACAACCAGATGAGATGACTATCAGATTGTTAAAAAAATCGGCATCATTCAAGAAGAAAGCAAAAGTAATGGTAAAGAGTTTAGGATGAGAGATATAATATTTTGGAGTTTACCTGTGTGAAAACAAATATAGAGAAAACTTTGAGAGTCTTCGGGTCGTAGTCCTAGTTTAGCAACATACAACAAGATTTTGATATATAACCAGATAATAAGGCCTATATGGACGTATAGTATACAGCTGTGGAGTTGTGGCAAGCAAACACATATAAAGCAAATACAAATTTTTCAAAACAAGGTGCTTTGTAATATAGCTGGTGCTGTCCTGTATGTGCGCAATAGTGACGTTCACAGAAATTTTGGGTGTCAACAAAATCAATAATGAAATAAGAAACTACGTGCCATGAAAGATGGGGCTTCCTTGAAGCACCGTGTAAATATTAAAACCTTTTGACCTATAGAATAGGGGGTTAGGACAGAAAGACCGAAAAGAACGGGACCTCTCGATATAGCCTAAAATACTGAAAAAGCACTTTCATGCCTTCCTTCATGGAATATAAACACTAAAAAACGATAGAGCAAAATTAATGCTTAGTCGATTTGACTAGTTTTAGGAAGACCGTTCAGAGATTCCAGATTAAAGTTTCCAACTAGTGATATATCTGACGACGAAATAAGTCCGCCTATTTTTGTCTGATAGAAAAAAATATTTTGAATTGAAATTGTTACTATTGAACAGAGTAAATACTGAAAACTAATTCTAATTTTTTATAGTAAAACTAGTTCCTAACAGAAATTGTGCTGGAATAATAATTTATGGTTTACAGCCTTTCAAAACTGCCCACCATTTTCGAATTTGCCAATTTCTGTCAAAATTGTAGGGAGTACTTTTCTTTTGTTCTCTTCAAAATAATAACAATACAGTATGTTGTTTGTTTTAATTGTATTTTTTAATTTCACTCCTATTTATTATATTTAATGTCCTCGTATTATGATTTACTATATTATTTACATTTTAACAATTTTATTTTAGAAACAAACATAAAAACAAATAAAAAAAGAAAATATAAATAAACGTCACTTGAAGTTAAAAATTACATTTCTTACTTATTTTATTGTTTTTTTTTCTTTTTTCTGTAACAAAAACGCCTTTATTTAATAATTTTTGTAGTTTAAACAAGAGTGAAAACAGCTATGAATAAAATATTTTCTTCCTCTTTGTGTTTTTAAGGAAAATCTTAAATTTTTTTTATTTTGATATGAAACAAAAAAACTTTAATTTTAAGAGAGGAAAATAAGAAAAAACAAAGAAAACAATTCAATTTTTTTGTAATTTTCCAGTTTTTCGTTGTTGAAGAAAATTTATTATTAAAAATTTTTTTCTTTTCTTATTGTCTTTTTGTTGAATTTCCTTCTATACTGTTTTATTATTGTAGAACAAGTACAATTCTTAATATTTACTGCAACGTAATTTTTTGAATGGTTTTTTTTTATATTCGCACATCCTGGGAAATAAAGTAGTACAAAAAACAGCAGAACGGAACAAAAAACAAAAAAAAAAGACGAAAATTTTTGATACAAAGAGAAAAAGGTCAAAAGCATACACAAGAGTTTAATCGTTGATATGAGAACCTTTAAGGTATTTCTCTTTTTTTAATTATTTTTTCCATAAATTTCTAAATTAAGAATTTTTTAGGCATGTGTCTCGGCAAACTACTTAATGTTAAGTGATAAATTAATTTATACAAGCAATATTATATTGAAAGATTTTGAATTTTACATAATTGATTTTAGGAGTAAAGGAGAAAAGGTCCTTGTATGTAACATTTACATATATGTATAAAGAAATGAGAGATCAATGAGAATTGTTAGCAAATTTGAAGAAATCTTAATTTTTGAACTACATATATATAGGAATGCAGTTCTTACATAGGCTATTTTTCAGAATTCAAATGCGTGCAACTGAAGCTAGTCATAAATACCAACGCGACATGACATAGACACCGTTAATTCGAACATACGTTTCCAATGCAACTGATTAATATTATTTTTTTCTTGTATATCTTTAAAGGTTGATGCATAAGTTATATTCATAATATGTGACAAAATGAATGACGAAGAAAATCTTTTAATTTTATTTTAAATTTTCCGTTTTATTGAAATAACTTTTAAAACGAAAATTATTAATTAAGCGAATATAATGATTGTCATATCCAAAACCAAGCGAATAATGTGTTTAACAAGAGGCTTATAAACGAATTTTTGAATTACATACAAAAATTTTAGTTACTTATATAATAATAATTTAAAAATTGAGAAAGAAAAAAAACTAGTTGTGTGTTTGTATAAAAATATAAACAATAGAATTTAAACGCCTTAATGTATGTTATGAGAGCACAATGAAATATTTTATTTGTGACTAAAATTAATTTTTTTATTGTTACAGAGCATTTCTTATTTTTTTTGTTTATTAAAATAAATGAAAGTAGATGCGGGTGTGTGTTTTGGTAATACAAAAAATATGTCAAGATTTAATTTACAGAAGTATGTAGGTAAGGCACTTGTGAAATTCTAAATTCATGCAGAAGAATAAGAAAGATTTTTTTAAATTTTCGTTTATTTTTACACACTTATAGGCACATGTTATTGACTTTTTGTGCGTGTCTGCATTGTATTGGTGTATTTTCCTAATTGAAAATATTTATTATAAAAAAAATGTTATTCACATAAGAGTTCATTTCTTCATTAAAAGCTAAGGTCTAATAAATTTTAAATAAGGAGTTTTATTTACAATAACATTTAATATTGGTTGATAAATTGTCAATAAATAAATTCGCTGTTAAACATTAATAAAAATATTAATCAAGTTCTTTTATTGCAGGTACGTATGTATATGGCTTTATTAAGGCATTGTCAAACTAATGACAGCATCATTCAAAGCGTCATTCTAAATATTGTTACTCTATATTGGTTTTATTAAATCGTGAGAGTGTTGAACGAATGCTAAAACTACAAAGTATGGTAATGAGATGGAATCCCATCAAATTTATTGTCTGCAGTGGTTTGTCAGTTCATCAATATACCCTGGTCAATGTTGCGATTATTGTGTTTAAATTGCAGAATAATGTGGATATCCAGCAAACTCATATATATTTTAGGAATATTCATCAGCAAACATTTTCAATTTTCGTCTTAATTTTTTAGAATTGAAAAAACAAAAATCATGTTTAGATATAAGGGATTAAATTTGTTTAACAGTATTCCGAATGATTTAAATTCAAAATTTCGATTATAATATATAATTTCCGGGATTTACTTATTTCTACAATTTGTAATACCTTTACAACAGTGATGCCTACACCTAAAATAAAATTCAATTTTTATTTTCTTTAAAATTGAGTAATTATTTCCTATATTTTAATTACTTTCCATATAATTAAAATTTCATTCTTATATATATTTAAAAAAAATAAATAAATTACTTTTTCTTTTAATTTAAAGAATGTCAATTTGGCTTCACAATTTTATTGATAACATAATAAATTCTCTGTATGTCTTGAATTTGTTGACCTGAGACAATAATTTAATTTTTATATAGATTGTTCAATTTTTTATTTATAATGAAAATTTAAAAGGACATGAAGGCTAAAACAATTAACCATAACTGAGCATCTCAATAAATTTTAATTATCAATTAAATTTTATTTTCCATTTTCATTTTCTTCTTGGTTTTCTCCGATATAGCTATATGTATGTGCTTTAACTTTTTGTCCTTAATTTCTTTTAACTTTATTATTGTTAAAATTTTACAATAGAACATTAATGATTTACCACAGATCTAGAAAATTGTTAAAGTTTATTAATATTATCGTATATATTTCATTAATATTATATACACAAGGTATACATATTATACATATTTATATCTGAGAACGTGTATAAAAATGATAAGGTATACCTATAAATTAATATATTTACACGTCAGTACACCCCGTATGTACGTATCTATTGTAGCCTTGAACGTAAAATATTTTATGATTATTGCTATTAATTTAGAAATCCTGCAGAAATAAAATGTGTTATTCTGGTAAACGTGTAAAAATTTTAAGATAATAAATTTTTTTTGTAAAGAAACCACACACAAAATGCCATTAGTCATGAAACCATAAAAATTAAAGTACATAATTTATATGTATATACTTTATATAATTTTATTTTGAAAATAATATTTATTTTGTATAGGTACACAAAATATTTGTGCGAGTTGTGGGCGAAAAACTATTTAAATAGTAAAACAAAAGCAATAAATTAAATAAAAAACATTATTTGTTGTAAAAGATTTTTTGTATATAAAATTTCAATTCATACTTAAGGTACAATTACATCAGTATGCGAATTATGATTAATGTGAAGTCGAATTTTGATTTCTAAATTTTTTGAAATACTGAAAAACACTTGGGTTTAAGTTGAACAAAGCCATACCATTTCTTGAATTCTAGTTTTTTGAAATACTATCAAAAATACTATGTCTCATTAACTGTAAATACTTATATAAAACACTAGTTAAAATACTAGTTTGATAGTATTTAAAATTTGACAGAAAATTCTTGACAAGCTCAAGTTAACAAAAAATATTTTTCGTTAATCAGTCTTCGTTTTCGAAGGCAGTCTATATACTCGTCCCAAAAATACATATACGATATACATATATCTAACCGTATTTTATATAATAATGATATTATTTCAGTGATATATAAAATTCTTTTGCAATTACATATCCTAAATCTCTGTCGCCACGTCTCTGTATTTTTATATTAGTCAAAATGTCGTACTAAAAAAAATTGACTTATAAAGAAATTAACACCAATAAATGCCAACTACATAAATTACATTTCAAGTAATTGTTGTTTCAAATTTAATCAAAGACTCATCAAGCCACTAGTGCTATGTTATTTTGAATTTTAGCTACTAATATGTATATCAATTTAATTGTACTTACATCTCTTATAACATGAATTATAACAGCTTAAAAATAACTCAGGATTCAAAGAGCTCTTAATTAAAATTATGATTCAAAAATTATTACAGGCACTTCATCATAAAAATTAATATTAAATTAAAATTTAATAATAAATTATAAAGCGTTAATTAAAAATTGAAATTGTATTTGAAGGTGTTTTTCTTGAAGTTTTTAAAAAATATTTTTAATAAATAATTAACAGTTCATTAAAAAATTCATTAAATTAATCGTTATATAATATCAAATAATTATTGTATATATAAAGTTACTAATTAATTCATAATTTAATTAATTGTAGTTAATTTATTAATTCTTTATATTATTAAGATTTAATTCTGTGCAGAATTTCAATATGCTTAACAAAGATTTATTATAATACTTAAAATATTTTTGTAGAGATAAAATAATGTGGAACAAAACAGAATTATTTATTTATTTCATTAATGTTGTACATAAAATAACAAAAAATATTATTAAAAACCGCATCCGTCCGTAATCTTATTTTACGGTGGTAAAATTTTTATATTACTATTTTATATTTGTAAATTTGCAATTTGTAAACAGAAAAATTGAACTAGTTTTTTTTTTGTTTTCCTTTCGTTAAAAATAACGTCATTTATTATTCTTTTTGCAGATTTTCTGTTCATTTGAAAGAAATAAAATTGTGTGCAGAAATCTATTTGTATACGGTATTAAAAATGAGAAGTTATACAATGTATGCAAAAATATTTTTCAGAAAAAATAACGGAGATTCTGTAATACCAAAATGTTATATGATGACACAGAAAATGTTATATGATTATTATTTATGAAAAGAACATTTTTGCTATAATTTATTTGCTCCTCGATTAGATTAAACAGTTTTGCAGAATTGTATCTGTAATTGTAAGATTTCAGTAGCAGTTCAATATTCATCAACATTGTGGCTACAATATTACAGTACAATAAATAGTCTGTAGCAATTCAATTAATTTTCTCTGCATTATAAATTGTTATACACAATATATGTAAGATTCTTCATAATTTTGTTAGAATAAGTAGCAAAGTTTTTACGTCTTGGAATTATTTAAGTATATTCATTGGAATTTACAAATAATATGTATTAGTATAACAGATTAGAAATATATTTACTTTAATGTTATACAAAAATTTAATTTAAAGAAAGAATAATATTCTTTATGCCCACTGATGGCATAAAGATTGATGGCAATTATGGGCGAAAATGTTTGTAAGTGAAATGTTTATAAACATTTTTACAGTTCAAAGTTTATACTTAAATACTTTTAACGTTGAATAGCCCCAAATGTTTATAAGTAACAATTTTGAAATGTGTATAAAGTCTTATATGAAATTTTTCTCTTAAAATTGTTTTTTTTGCTTTTAGATATCAAAAAAATATTAAATCTGTGCAGTAATTTTTTTAATTCGCAGAATTTTACAGAGTATGTGAATAATATTATTTCAAAATGAAGATTTTAATAGATTTTTTTTACATCGAGGGAGAATGTATAACAAACTAATTATAATAACGAATGGAATGTGGTCCTATTGGATAAATAGGTATTTAAGAGATACTCAAAGTAAGATAATACGCCGAGCAGTCCATATATCGGCTGAGGTTGTCATAATTTATGTGGATAACAGAGTCTTTGAGACTGGGTTCTTACATTATTAAATTTGGAGCGGTGTAGGGCGGTCTGGAGATTTTTTTGCGGTATACAGGGTAATTTTATGCTGGGCGAGATTGGAATTGGGAGCCGACGTTTTGCAATGGACTGGTCGGCACTTCCGCTCTTGCGGAATTTGAAAAACGTTGTAGATGAGCAAATTAAAAGAAGGGGAACTTGGGATGGTTGGCGAACTTGTGCAACGACAAGGGTCTGTGGCTAGTGCAAAAGCGAAAAATTTGCTGACTTTCAGCAGGAAGAATCTCAATATTACGGTTGGCATTTTGACGGGGTACTGTTTATTAGGAAGAAAGATGGCAAGGAGGCTGTTATACCACACATTGCAAGTATGCATATATCGCATCCCGAAAACCAAAGTGTATTTACTCAAAAAAATATAATTTCACAGGTTTTTGGGTAATTAAAAAGTTCAAGTTTTTCTTTTCAGCTCTACAAATCATGTTAACGTAGCATTAAAAATCAGCCATTTTTTTAAACAAATTCATTTTAAATCTTATCACTAATTTAAGATTCAATATACAATATTAACTCGAACATGGTAGTACATATATACTAAATTAACTCTTTTACACTTGACTATATTGTATATATAGTTAATAAAATTTATATTTAATAAAATTTTCAGTTATCCCCCATATTATCAGTTCTTAAATTTATTTCTTTTAATTCTTAAAATTTTCATGCAGCTACTATTGATTTAAAATATATAAAAAATGCAATGGATCATTCAAACATACTTCTATATGTACCTAAATGTAAACAAGCTCATTTATTTGAAAGTATATTATTAATTGTGTATGAATATAATAAAAAATTGAATTAAAAATGTCATAAACTGAATATAATTGTGGTTTGATTTTTTGCCTTTTATATTATATATAAAAAATAATTTACAATTCATTTATTACCTACAATAAAATATAATAAAATTTACTAGTGTATCCTGCGACCATCATATTATCTAGAATTTCAAATTTAAAAAAAAAATCAAAATCTCTACTCGTGTTTATTTGCAAATTTTTCATCGAATTTCTGCCATCTATCTATACTTACATATAGTTTGTCCATCAATAATTAATTTTCTATTTAAAACTATCATGCATAAAATGGCTGATTGGTTGATGTGGTTGATTTTATATTATAAAATTATAATTTCTATATACATAAGTAACGCGTAATTGTACTATATAGTTAGAATATAGGTTTGTGCATATTATTTTTTAATTTATAATAAAATATAACCATTATTTTGTTAAATAAAAATGTGGGACAATCATTTTGATTTTAAAAAATTTGTAGATAAATAAAAACTTCTCTTTTAAAAAACACACAAAGATTTTGATATTTGTGTGGTTTGATATTTATATGATGATATTAAGGACAGAGCATGGAAAATATATAACGAAGAAAAAAATATTTTCATTGTTGATACAGCGGAAAAACAGAAATTTCAAATTTTTATAGAATTTTAGCGTAAATAAAAAATGTTTATATAGAATTTAAAATATATATGGAGAAGCTATTCACTAATTTTTTACCATAAATGCTACTTTTAATAATTTATTTAAAATAATTGAAATGTGGATAATAATTTAGGTATTTTAATAAAGCAAAAAAGAAAAATCAAAATTATTCTAATTGATTATATATAGAGTAAAAATATTTTCTAATAAGTCATAAAAATTTTCGATATTTTGGTTTTTAGTGACGAATTGACAAAAAAAATATTCAATTAGGTTTATTGTAATTTTGAGCACAAATTTTGAAAATGAAATATTTGTATGCTGCTGATGAATTAAAAATATCAAGTTAATGGTACGAATTTATATACATAAATGACTTCAAACTAAAAATCATAAGCAATATATCAGGTGACCTGCTATCTGTTGCTTCTTTTGCTTAACAGTCTTCGCATTTAAAATTTGGACACTATGAAAATATATAGCGAATTTTCATATGCGAAAGAAGTTTGATTCCAGAGGGATGGCAGCGGGAGAGACTCTGGCTGGAATAACGACCATATAACTTATAAGCAAATATGAAATGTCCAATAATAAGGATATAAAAGCGGAAGAGATGTTTACCAAAGTGTCGGCAGAGGCTACAACTGTCGGTCAGGGCTTGGCAAAATGTTCAAGACGTTCAGAGAAATCAAGGTTGCAAGGTCCCCTCCTATGGGAGAAGTTAGAAGAAAAACCATTGAAGATTATAGAAAGAAGGTCTGAAGAAGAGAACAAAAGTAAAACTTCTGAAGGTAATGTAAAGAGAAATTACATCCGGGACCAACGATCGATTCGCGTATAAGAGACTTGGAGAACCTGTGTAAGGAGCTGAAAGAAAGGATCTGCAAACTTAAGGTAAAAAATTTATGATTATTGAGACAACAGAATGCAGTTTCAAATTGCAAAGAAAAAGACAAAATAGGTGTGATTCTGTATGACACAGATGAGGTAAGAGTGGGCTAGAGAGACCGATTGGATAAAACTAAAAGAAACTCAAAGAAGAGAAAAGCCAAGAGTTCGCCAGAAATGGAACCGGCATTAGAAATTCTCTACCGGGGTGGAGAAATCTCCACAAAAAAAGGATTCCCAACTTGAAAAACATAATCCTTCGTCGATAATAGTAAGTAATGTAACTAATTTCATGCAGCTAATAACGATCCTTAAAGAGGAAAGTATTAACGTGAATCGTGAAGGTAAAAGTGATGAACAACGATCGACTAAAAATAAACGTTGAAAATGAATATTGACCACTAACTAAAGTTGTTAATATGGTCAAATTGGAGTGGCATACTTATGAAAATAAATTAACGAGGCCAATTAAAGTAATGATCAGAAATCTACATCCATCATGTGAACCATAGAGTATTAAATGCAAATTTATCCAAAGGGGATGTAAATGCGTAGATGCTGTAAATAAAATTAAAAAAATAAAAAAAAATAACGTAAATACATACTATTAAAAGGGTGCCCCCTTTTTGTGTTGTCCTTCAATCACACTGAAGACAAAAAAAATATACAAAATAGAATACCTTCAGCACATGAGAGTAAAAATTGAGCCTCTTGGAAATAATAGATCCATCCCGCGATGCAATAGATACCAGAGATTCGGTCATACACAAAGATTTTGCCAAAGAGGTGGTAAAAGTGTTAAATGTGCTGGAAATCATATCACAGCCGAACATAATAAGAAAGATAACTTCAAGGCCAGGTGCGCAAACTGTAACGAGGGTGTTTGAGTCCAAGGAATTACAAAAAGGAGAATGAAAAGGAAACGGCTTAAACGGGTCTTGGGTAATCATGAAGATGCCCCAAAAACGATTAATGCTTTTACATCAAATAAGAAAAAAAATTGTGTTACATACTCACAAATGGCTTTAAAAAAAATTATTTATATAAAAGATCTAAGAAAAGCATGAATAATAAAGAAATTGACAAAAATACAATGCAAAAACCTAGAGGAATTGACGGTTGCATAATGCAAGACATGCTACAAAAAATTTACGAAATTTCAATGGGACTAACTACCATGGAGATAAAAACCCCGAAGCGGTTTCTGAAAAATGTCAGCAGATAAAATAAGAATTGGTACGTGGGACGCAAATGGCGTTCT